AGGCATGTTTTCCTTGCCCCTCTCTTTCTCCTGAGGTCCAAGGGCCCTTCTTTTGCCTCTGTAACTTGTTTTCTGAGCCCATTTCTTCTGTGGATCACTTCTTCTACTTTTGTGATTTTCTGAGTAAACTTTCTCTTATAGTTTAAGTCTTGGGTGTGAATTCTTTCTCAGGCATAGCTCCAGTACTGAGGTTGTTGATCTGGGGTCTGGTCTGACTCCACAGTCTAACACCTGGTGCCGTTTCACCACCACGATACATTTGAGTTCATAAAATTTTAAGTTGACATGGTAAAAACCACTGTAAGCAAAGTCAAAAGACAAATGACATACTGGGGGAAATATATTTGCAATTATAACACAGACAAAGGGTTCATTTTTCCTAATATATAAAGAACTGCTCAAAAAAATGGGTATCTGTAAAGCTCTTAAAAAAAAGATTTTATTTATTTATTTTTAGAGAGAGGGGAAGGGAGAGAGAAGAGGGAGAGAAACATCGATTGCCTCTTGCACACCCCCACCCAGTAACCTAGCCTGCAACCCAGGCATGTATACTGACTGGGAATTGAACCCGAAACCTCTCGGTTTGTGGGACAACACTCAACCCAGTGAGCCACACCAGTCAGGGCCTGTGAAGCTTGTTATGCTAATAGACTTCCATTTAACTGTGCCACAGATTTCATGTCTTTAACATATATTCTCAATGTACCAGGAAAACCCTTGGTTGGAGAAGGTCTTGGGACCCATACACCTGAAGATACAGCCATGAGCGTATAAACATACCTGAATTTGTTTCCTCTTTCCCCATAAAACAGGGTCCTCTCAGAAGTGGTTCGACTGCTGTTAATGATACCCTCACATACCCCATTTAACATGTTGTGGACGAAAGAGGGGCCACGTCCTAAACCTGAGAAGCTCAGGGGAGGCCTGCGTGGCAGCCTTACAGACTCAGAGACCTAAAATAACCACATAAGATGGCATGAAGTTAAAACTTCCTAACTAAAAGCAAGTCATGGTGGGTGGTTGAGTCCTAGGCCAGCATCTTCCCTGATAAAGGCCAGTCTTTCCGTTAACTGAGCCTGTCTGTTGTCTTTTTACATCTAGGGAAACCTACCTCTGGAACATCAGGGCAATTTCCTAATTCCAGACACCTCAGTGCAAAGTCTCCCACTAAAACAGAAGACTGCAGGGCTCCTCATTGTTATTGTTCCGGAGTTAATTGTTAACTATCCTACATTCACTAGGAAAAGATGTATGTGTCCATTTGTTTTACTTTTTATCCAGCCCTAGAGATTTCCCCATCTTTGCTTTCTCCCCACTCACTAATATGTCACTAGTGAGTTTCATGTAACCCCCTTACATCTTCTTCTTTGATTCTAATGTATACAATAAGGTGCAAAACTACCATTCCTCAAAGCATTTTCTTAATCCATTGTGACTTTGCTTCCTAGCAATTGGTATCAGTTTGGCTTAAATAAACTCATAAAAATTCTTACAGGTTTGGATGTTTATTATATCCACGATGTCATTTATGATTTTTCTCATCTCCTTTTCTTACCTCCTTCCTCTCATCTAGAAAGTCACCAAATCCTTTCTATGTTTCCTTCATACTGTTTCACACCTGCGCCAATCTTTCCAGGCCCATTACTAGTGCTTTAGTCAACAGACAGTATCTCTCTCATGACCAAACTGCTACTCTGGTCTCCTTTTCTTTTTTTTTTCTCTTGTTCCTCCCACACACGGATTAATTTCCTAAAACAGGGTTTTCATTTTAGGCCACCAATCTACTCAGAAGCCTTCTTTGGTTCCTCCCTGTCTAGAATGAAGTCTAACTTCTGAACTTGACCTTCAGTCCCCCTTAATCAGATTTATTCTCCTACATCTCTAGCCTTAGTCTTTCTCACTGCTCTTTTTTAGGGACCCTTTCATTGTCTAACCTGGTTTACTTGGCTTGGCCTGTCAAGCCCATTTCTACCTTTCACACCTGTGGCCCCTCCTTCCTCCTCTTTGCTGAGTCTTGTACTGTGCTTACAAGATAAAGTCAGAGGTAGGTGACTTTCCAGCTCTAGCTATGGTGTCTCCATCACTTGGAAATAGGACTGCTAATCTTTAAAAAGTAATTCATTGAAAGTATTAGGAGTTCCTTTTAGTATTGTTTTGTTTCATCTTTTATTGCTTCTTTGGTCACATCTGCTTTGTATCTATAAGGCTTTGGTTTGCAAAGTTGTAAATCTGTCTGTCTCACCGATATGGCTTTCACTTCAAATTAACATTCAGCAAAGTGATTAACAGATAACCTTTTTGGGCTGCATTTCTTTATACAAAGGGTGGATATGGTTCGAACAGGCTACCAAAGCCAGGAAGCAGAGTTAATTGTATAAATCAATGCAGGCAAGAGCTGATCACCTTTCTGAAAGGCAAGACAATGCAGTACACACAGCCTTTAAATAGATCTGTGGGGTCAAGTTGATGTCATGTTGAAGAATCAATATTTACGGGGCTTTTATAAAGTTAGCCTTTAATGAACCCCAGGCATTTTCCTAGGCCATTAATTGCAAGAAGAGGAAACGTGACAGTGTCTGAAGTTCATGGTTGTGGAGGTTGTATATAGTTAAGAGAAGGCACAGTCACTTGCTAATGTGCAGAGGTCCTACCCTGAGGTTCTACTCAAACGTTGTTGGGTGTGCGATCGAGAGGCTTTCTTGGGATCTTGTTGACATTTTGAGAAAGAGCAACTCTTGCATCCTTACGAAGAGGGTAAGCCCTTTCTTCTTGGATACTCCTTATCTAATCTCAATTAGATAAGCAACGTGGCTTAATTTTCCTGGGATGAATTCTGATGTCATTTTGGATTCTGCCTTATAAATGTGCTCATCACAAGAGCAGGTCTCTTTCAGAGTTTGACTTGTCTCCCCCTCTGACACACTTGAAAGTTATATATCTATTTATTACAATTGTATTATCATTTTTTAATTTATTGATTTGAGAAACATTGATTTGTTATTCCACTTATTTTTACATTCATTGCTTGATTCTTGTATGTGTCACGTAACCAATCAAATGGGCCTGTTCATGTGGTGTCTTGGTGTATGACCCAACAATTAGTATTGGAAGAAACAGGTTTTTGTTTTTATCATTTCAACCTTGGGGGGACTGGAAGCACTTCAGCTCGGAGCCGTATTCTCCCATGAGAGCCAGCACTTCCCTTGCTCCCCAAAATGCTATAAGCCAAAAGCCCCAAAAGTTCCCCAACTGTTTATCTGTGCTCAAGCCGGCTGCGTAAACAGTCTCGCAGCAGCTCTCTCCTTCAGGATCTGGGGTGCCTTGTCCTCAGCCTTCGTATTCTAGTCCAGGAAAATATGTGCCATGTTACACTGGATCTTGCCGTCCAGGAACGGCACAAGTCCTGATGGAGTGGCCTCTCTGTCCCGAGTTCCAAGAGTCCAGATAGAGTCCGGATCTGAAAGCAGCAGGTCAGTGTCTTGTAAGACAGGTCCTTGGTGGCTTCGGAATCAGCTAGAATGGGCACAATCAGAGCACCAGTGTGCTGTCCTTTCTTACTAGCCCAGGCCGCATGGCTGAATCTGGACTGCAGACCGCATAGCTGCTTGCCCATGGCTCCCTCTCACATGACTGCTGCATCATTCCTCCTATGGTGAGACAGCGCCTACAGCTCACGTGGTTCCTGTTTCCACTGCAGCATGGCTGAATCTCCCCAGAATGGCTGCTGCATCATGGCCCTCCTCCTTCTCTACACTCACTCCACCTGCATGGCTCCTATCTCTCTACCAGCAGCATGACTGAATCTCCCTCTCTGTCTTCTTAGCAGAACAACCTCTCTCTCTCTCTGCATGATTACTACATCGTAGCTCTCCCATAGTGGAGCATCCTTCTCTTTGCCTACCCTTAGTTTCAGTCCTGACCCAGAGCTTCCTATGTGACCTCCTCTCCGACTCCTCCCACAAAGAGCTACATTTGTCAGTTTCCCCACATTGTTCTGCCCTCTCTCAGCTGCCATCCTTAGTCAGGGCAAGCGTAACTCTGTGAAGCAGGGGCTTCTGCCTCCCTGCCTCTTGCGCAGGCACTGTAAAGCTCTCCCAGCTAGTCAGGAGTCACCATACGCTCTGGAAGTCATGTATACACTGTTCACTCTGGGGCAGTAACACAGTTCTTAGCCAACCATCAACTTGCCATAGATATATGCAAAATATCTTAACTGTGGGGACTTTGGGGACCCTCCCTGGCACCCTATTTCACCCTGACCAGGGGATCAAACCTGCAACCTTGGCATATTGAGACAACACTCCAACCAACTGAGCTACCCGGCCAGAGCAACACCATAAAGCTTTTAAGTGAAGAATTATAGTAAAAAGCATCTGCTTTAGGATTCTGGCTTAAATTTAAATCTAATGAAGGGTTTTTGATAAATATAATTTATACTTATTATATCATCCAATCAAAGTGTGGCTCTGGTTGTTTTGTGTGCATAAGTGTTCTGTGTTCTTCACTGGGTTGTCAGAATATTTTCTAGGTCAGGAATCTTATCTTGTGTTTATTGTAGTCAGTGTTTCTAATAAATGTTGTTGACTAGATAGAGGAATGTATCATATCAAATTTTGTTCTGACTGTAACAAAACTAGGATCCTGCAAAACTGAAAGTCATAGGAGCAGCTTTGTTAGGCCCTGTGATTTAGGGGATGTTTGTAACAAGTTCTAGTTCATATCTACTCAGTAGATATTTTGGAATTAACTTGTGAGACCTCTTTCTCTAGTGCATTTTGTTGGAAGAAGCTTTAAGATTAATCAGAGAGAAGAGCTGCTGTTCTTTTTTCACTCCTACTTTCACCCTTCCTCACTGGGATCATTTTTGAGAAAAATACTGAAAAGAAAAAGCACAAGAGGTTTATTGAGATTGTTCTGGTGTTTTTATAAGAAAATGTGTAATATTTCCACCTATACTTTCCTTTAGATATTTATTCTGGGGTTTTGTTCTTTCTTTTCAGCTGTTTGAGAACTACTACTTTGGTACCCTGAAGCTCAATTCAGTCCATATCTCTCAGAGGTTCACAGTGGACAGCTTTGGGAACTATGCCTCCTGTGGGCAAATTGACTTCTCCTGAAGTGGACCTTGGGAAGCAGTAGAAATTGAACATCTTCATAAGGTGATAAAGATAAATATCTTCATTTTAATTGCCAAGGACGGGTGTGGAAATTTGGATGGTGACTTTCTTAGGTGGTCCCCCATGGACTCTGTGGTGTCTCTGATGACCGTCCACTGTCATCAGACTGTTGGCCAGGATGGTTGTGGGCCCAAGGAGAACTGTGCAGGTAACCCTCGGCTTCTTCATCTTTTGCAGGACCTAATTTTTTTTCTGAAACTCTTCTCTGGAAATGTACCTCTGAAGCCCATTGGAGCTCAGATTCACATTCTTTCCTTCCTTCTTCTTTTTAAAGATTTTATTTATTTTTAGAGAGGGAGGAAGGGAGGTAGAAAGAGAGGGAGAGAAACATCGATGTGTGAGAGAAACATTTACTGGTTGCCTCTTGCATTCGCCCAGACTGGGGACCAGTGCACAATCCAGGTGGATGCCCTGACTGGGAATTAAACTGGCGACCTTTTGTTTTGCAGGATGATGCTGAAGCAACTAAGCCATACCAGTCAGGTCTGCATTATTTCTTATATACCTACTCATTTTGCCCGAGCCATCAAAGTCATTTGTATTAATTCTTTAAACGAATTAAAGGTGTGGTTTTATTGATCTCTCCATCTAGATAAAAACACCTATAATTTTTAGAAGGTTTGATTTTTTTCCCCCTTACCCTTATACCCTAAATTTTTTGTTTGTGATAAAAACAAGCACTTTTTGAACCCCTGCTATAGGCCAGGCATTGTGTTAAGGGTATACATATTATTATTATACTTAATAATATTATTAAATTATTATACTTAATAATTCTATTTAAAATATTGTTACTATTATTATCACTGGCAACACTGTGAGGGAGGTACTGATACAATCCCCATTTTACATATAAGGAAACTGAGGTTAGGCAATTAGCTGAAGCCCACATCACCAGGCAGCGGATAGTGCCGGGATCTGAACTCAGCCAGTCTGGGCTCTCCAGAACTATGCTAAACTGCTTGGCCCTTAGGAGGGCCAGAGGGAGAACAGGAAGCCACACAGGCTTTGGCTGTTCCACTCTCCCAGGCCCAAGCAGGAGGCATGTGCTTGGGACACAGGGCTCACACAAAGCTTTGTGAACCTGGATTCCTTAGGTGTGCTCGCCTGTACCCTAAATTTTAACCACCACCCAGAATTTCTTTTTTATTGTGACAAAAAAAAATGCATAACATAAAACTTAGCATCTTAACCATCTTTAAGTGTACATTTCAGTAGTGCTAAATGAGCATATGCATGTTGTTGTGAAACAGCTCCCGAACTTTCTCACCCTGCATATCTGAAACAGTGTCTATTAAATAACTCCCCATTTAACCTCCCTTTCCTTTGTGTTTCTATGACTGACTGTGGTAGATACCGCAAAGTGGAATCACATAGTATTTGTCTTTTTGTGACTGAGTTATTTCAGTTACCATAATGTCCTTAAAGGTTCATCCATTTGTAGCACTGTCAGAATTCCTTTTTCAGACTGACTTACAGTCCCTAGTATGTGTAGACCACATTTGTTTGTTCACTCATCCGTCAGTGGGCACTTGGGTTCCTCTACCGCTTGACTTCTGTGGATGGTGCTCTATGAACATGGGTGTGCAAATCTCTTCCAGACCCTGCTTTCAGTTTCTGACTACTCAGAATTTTATCTTTGCCAAAGTAACTGTTAAGATTTTTACTTTTTAGTTTGATCTGTTCTTTTTCTTCTGAAGTTGGTATCTTTTTATGTTTATTAGATTCCTGTTCCTTTACCCTACCCCTCTCCTCACCTTCCCACGCCATTGGTGCAGTGGCAGCATTATAGCCCTTTTATGTTTTACTTCTCAGGGCAGCAGCAAGAGAAACGATGATGGTATCAGCAGGACTGTGCAGAGTTCCCTGGGAAGATGTCAGCTGCAGAAGGCGCTCCATCCTTGCCGCAGACACGGGCAGTGGGAGGGAGCTCTCAGCACAGCTCTGCCTGCCACTGCACTCAGTGATCCCCAGGGAGCCCCAGCCTGGCTCTTACCTTGTCACTGCTGCCTCCTCCTCCTCACATCCTCTCTTCCTCCACGTCCTCCCCTGTTTCTTCTTTCCTTGTTCTTAGCTTGCTTTTTACTTTCTGTTTAAGAAGTTGGGCTCTGAACCCAGTGTCTCAAGGTCACTACATGGTGAGGGTTGTGTATAACACTCAGATTTGTTTAGCACTGTGACTGCACAGATAAGTTGTGAATAAACGAATTTCCAAAGTAACTGTGTTTTTTAATATTTTCATAGTTTTATAGTTTGACCCCCTTAGTGTTTCGGATTCAGTGTTGCCATCACCTGTTCACTGTCAGAGCTGTATCATTAGTCCAGAACGTGCTCACTGGTGCCTGTAGGATTGGTTTTCCCCAAAAAGCTTTGTACTAGTGATACTCATTTTTCAGTTGAAGTTGATACTTCGCCTTGCTTACCTCCGATGGTCAGAGGGCGTGTGGAAATGAGTGCTCCGGGATGGCACCGAGGGTGGGCAGGCCGACGGGGGGTCAGTGCCCTCGAGTCATCCTGCTTCTGCTTTCTCACTGACAGCTGGCACTGGCAGCTGGCACTGGCAGCCTGGGCCAGGAGGTAAAGATGTCTTTTTTGGATGTCAGAGATTTATGACTTACACTTTTAATACATTTTTAAAGAAGTTTTGTGTTTGGCCTTGGCTGGTGTGGCTCAGTGGACTGAGTGCTAGCCTGTGAACCAAAGGGTTGCCTGTTTGATTCCTAGTTGGGGCACATGTCTGGGTTGTGGGCGGGGTCCCCAGTGGGGGGCTCTCAAGAGGCAACCACACACTGATGTTTCCCTCCCTCTCTTTCCCTTCCCTCTCTCTAAAAATAAATTTAAAAAATCTTTCTTCTTAAAAAAGTTGTTTTGTGTTTGGAAAATGTAACTTTATCAAATACTAAATTGTTAAAATTGGAAATTCTGTTTTTTTTTAATTTAGAGGTGACTATGCATTTAAAGACATATTGTATTGTTAAGTAATTTTCACAGGTAATTTGCCCTTTTCACTCTCATCCTCTCACCACTACTGTACAGGAGATTTTTCCAGAGGCTACATGACATAGTGACAGTCTCTGATGGTTAATGGAGTGTGCGTTTATGTATTTTTCTGTTTTCTAGACTTTTGTAAGTTGGTAGGTATTGGTAGAATTGGAAATTTTTTTTTGAAAGATTTTTTAATTTATTTTTTAGAGAGGGAAGGGAGGGAGGGAGAGAGAGAGAGATCAATATGCGGTTGCTGGGGGTCATGGCCTGCAACCCAGGCATGTGCCCTGACTGGGAATAGAACCTGTGACACTTTGGTTCACAGCCCGTGCTCAATCCACTGAGCTACGCCAGCCAGGGCGAATTGGAAAATTTTTAAATTCATTTTTAAAATGTTCTTTCTAGAAGTCTGTGGACAAATTGCTGAGACACTGTGGCTCTAAAAAAAGTGCAATTATAACTGCTCTGGCGGAAGAGGGAGTAACAGGTCGTTCTAATGTAGAACTTTGCGAAAGCACAGCAGTGGTGGAAAGCAAATAATTTGTGATGGAGCTAGAAGAACTTCTCAAGGTTCAGGGTCCCCCTCACCAAATCATAATGGCAGGAATGTTGGGGGGTTGGCTGCTGTGTTTGTAATTGGATCTCATTGCACCTCACCATGCCGCTGCTGGTTTTTGAGGCACCAACTTTACCCTCAAGTCTTGGAAGAGGAAGAGGGAAAATGAATTTCTCACCCCAATCATTACACAAAATTAGTATTGTTATATTGTGAACTTTGATATGGAGAATAATTTTGATTTTTTTTTTGGAGGGGGCATAATGGGTTATCACCAAATGAACTCTATACCCATCATAAAGACATGATAAATGTTACTTAACAACATTTATTTTTAAAGATTTTTTAATATTGTTTATTCTTAGAGAGCGGGGAAGGGAGGGAGAAAGAAAGGGAGACAAACATCGATGTGAGAGAGAAACATCAATCAGTGCTTCTCGTACACACTGTGATCATGGACTGACCCTACAACCCATGCATATTCCCTGACTGGGAATCGAACTGGTGACCCTTTGCTCTGCAGGCTGATGCCCAATCAACAGTCGCACCAGCCAGGACTTAACAGACAAAAATTTATTTATTTATTTGTTTATTTAAGATTTTTAGAGAAGGAAGGGAGGGAGAAAGAGAGAGAGAGAGAAACATCAATGTGCGGTTGCTGGGGGACATGGCCTGCAACCCAGGCATGTACCCTGACTGGGAATCGAACCTGCGACACTTTGGTTCTCAGCCCGCGCTCAGTCCAACAACATTTATTTTTAAATGAGCTCCAAAGCTGTGACACTGATGAGAATCTGGCCTCACAATGACACACAGCTTTGTTCAGGTTTGCTCTCGCACTGTGCCCTTTCCCTGCTGGGGAAGGAAGCCCATGGCACTGAGGCACGTTGACTTGAGAGATACCTCTCATGCTCTGCCTGATGCCTTGGGGTGTGGATGTCCGAGCCCAGGGATGCTACAGGTGAGAGAAGGGTTGCTGCTGTGATTGTTTTTATTAATTGCTTTTTTGGTTGTTTTGAACAAAATGTCATTGTAAACAAAATAAGTTCATTTTGTATAAAATCAAGCTATATACACGCTATGCTTTTTTCAATGTATGTTATACTCTAAGTATTTGTTAAAAAATAAATTCATCATTCAGAGGCTACTATTCCCTGTGCACATACATTGTTAAGAAATTTTTCACAAATAATAACAGCTAATACTGGCTGAATGCTCTCATTTATCATTTCTTCATGTATGAAATGATACACGAAGTAGCCCATTTCACTGGGTGTTATCATTATCCTCATTTTACAAACTGAGGCTTAACAAAGTTAAGAAATTTGTCAGGGGTCATACAGCTTGTACCAGAGGTTCTTAAAATATGGTCTGTGGATGCTTGGGAGGCCCTTGGAACACTTCAGGGATTTGTTCAAAGTCTACATTATTTTCATAGAACTAGTAAGGTATCATTTGCCTTTTTCACACTCAGTCTCGCCTGGCGTACAGTGGAGTTTTCCAGAGGCTACATGGCATGGTGACGTCATCACCCTGGTTAATGCCATATGTGCTTGTATATGTTTGTGTTTTCTACAATTTTGTAAGGTGGAGAGTTTCAGGTATAAATATACCCAAATTAGGATTAATTCAGTGCAATCTCAGTGCTTCTGCTGGGTTCTTACTAGCTATTTCGGTTTTGGCTGCTATTATGGGCTGGACATGTCCCCTGAGAATTCACATGTTGACGCCCTCACCCCCAGTTGCCTCATAATGCAACTGTGTTTGGAGACAAGGCCTTTAAAGAGGTAATTAAGTCAGGATGAGGCTGAGGCTGTTACAGTGGATGGACCCTAGGCCAGCCTGACTGGTGTCCTGAGCAGAAGGGGAAATTTGGATACACAGACAGCAGCTGTATGTGTGGACAGAAGAAAGACGGGTGTGACTCAGTGAGAAGGTGACCATCTGCAAACCAGGGAGAGAGTCCTCAGTAAAAAACAAACCCACCAACACCTTAATCTTGGGCTTCTAGCCTCCAGAACCTTAAGCAAATAAATCTCTGTGGTGTAAGCCACCTAGACTGTGGTATTTTATGCCAGCCCTAGCAGTAATACACTTGCTATAATGCAGAAGCTAATTTACCTGTGGTCTTTTGGTGCCACAGGACATTAAAGAGATTTGCAAAAATGTAAAACAATGCCACTCTTCTCACTTAGTTTTTCAGGGGAATATATAGTTTTTATTAAAATACATTATTTTGTTCATATGTAGTAGGTTCGTTATTTTAAATGTTTTTAAAATTACTAGTTTTTTTAAAAAGATTTAATTTTTTTTAGAGTGGTTTTAGGTTCACAGCAAAATTGAGAGGCAAGCTCTGACTGGTGTGGCTCAGTGGATTGAGTACTGGCCTGCAAACCAAAGGGTTGCTGGTTTGGTTCCCAGTCAGGGCACATGCCTGGGTTGTGGGCCAGGTCCCCAGTGGAGGAGAGGCAACCACACAATGATGTTTCTCTCCCTCTCTTTCTCCCTTCCCCTCTCTAAAAATAAGATATTTAAAATTGAGAGGAAAGCTTAGTTTTATTTTCAAGTATAGTAAATTAGAGCCAAAGCTGTATGAAGCGGGGGGACCCAAAAAACCCCAGAATCATATTCTGGAGGGTGGGCCCCTTGTAGTACAGGCTTCCTCTGCTAGGTGAGCTAGGAACCCACCTGTATCAGTGTACCAGCTGGCGTTGTTGTGAGAGGCTGTGATTGGTTTCAGTGAATTTTTCTGAAGACTCTCTGAACAGGTTTGCTCACTTCATGATGGGTGATTTACAAGCGTATCTGCCCACACCACACAGTGTTGAGCAGTTTTTGACCAAAAACAGCATCACCATGTGCCCTACCCTTCCTATTCACCTGATTTCACTTCCTACAACTTTTTTTTTGTTTCCCTGAATGAGGAAAGTTCTCAAAGGGAGATGCTTTGCTGATGTGAAAGAGGTGAAACAAAAACTGCAGAAGCACTAAAAGACAATATTAAGTCAGTGAGTTCAAAAACTGTTGACCAGTGGAAAAAAAACATCTCAATAGGTGTATTGCACCAAGTGGAAAGTATTTTGAAGGTGACTAAAGTTTAAGAATTTAAGAATAAATACACAACTTCTCTATAAATCTAGGGTTTGGGGGCTGCCCCCTCATATCTCACATAAAAGTTCTTTAGGGTCCTCAATAATTGTTGAGTGTATAGGACCCCTGAGACCATAAAGTTTGAAAACATTCTATTCCTTCCAAGAGATGATATTAAACACGATCTTCTGTGATGAGTTTTTCTCACCCAGCAATGTGCAGGGAGTCACACTAGTGGTCATTAGATGACATGCCCACATCATTTCGAATGTCTGCACAACAGTGTATTGTGTGTGTGTGTTACAACTTAACTAGGTGATCTCTGCCTGATGGACAGTGAGAGCCGGCTTCCAGGTTTGTCCATTTAAACGTTTCTGGATTGGACATTGTTTTAAATTTTTCATTCATTCATTCATTCATTCATTCACTCATTTTTAGGGAGAGGGGGTGGGAAGGAGAAAGGAAGGGAGAAAAACAACAATGTGAGAGAGAAACCGATCAGATACCTCATGCACGCCCCAACGGGGAACCGAGCCTGCAACCTAGGCAGGTGTCCCAACTGGGAAATGCTCTTCAGGCTATGCCCAACCAACTGAGCCACGCTGGTCAGAGCAAGAACTAACATTTTTCAAATTCCCACTACGCCCAGGCATAGTATGGAATTTGGATGAATTTCACAGCAAGCTTCTAACACAGGTGGTATTATCATTAATTTATAGACAGAAAATAGGTTTGGTGATCGGCCTAGAACCCAGATAGTACGTGGGGCTCCACCCCAGCTCACGTGACAACAAACACTGTTCCTCTGCACAGTGCTGCTGCACAACCCCCAAAGCTGCTTCGTTTACCGTGAGATGAAGACGTCAGTGGCCATGTCCCCATTACGGCACCACCTCCAAGTCCAACTGAAAGGACAAAGAAAACAGGGAAAGGGAGCTTTTGTTTTGTTTTCCCAAGGGAACCCCAGCCCAAGCCGTCAGTGCACTCAGAATTCCCAGGCCAGACTCAGGGTGACTGTGAACCTTATAAACTCTGTTTTTTCCTACTGATTAAGATCATGTTTTTCATTGCCTTTGATTTTTTTTTAAAGACCACAGCAGCCAAGTTCTTATTTTTTGTTTTATTATTATTTTTTTAATAAAAACACAATCTAGGGCTCGGGTCCCAAAAGTTCAGTGTTTTGTTCTCTCAGATTATGTTTCCTCTTCAATTTATCTCTAATGTAAACTTCACCTCATTTCTGCTCTGATACCGGGACCGTGCCCAGTTTTCCCAGCTGGTATGTCAACACATTTCTGCAGGCGTGATAAGGGCCACAATTTTAACAAAAACCGTAGCACTTCAGACAAAACTAGTCCCTTTCGCTGGCCCCCCTTCCCCAGTGGCTTATTAAAATCAACTTGAAGTCAAAACTAGTAGCAAATGTGCCTCTTTCAAATTTGCATCTCAAGGCAGGTGAATGGTCCGCCACTGCCTTTTAGGGCTGCCCCAGGAAGAGCTAACAAAAGGGGTGCCGGCCCTTAAACAGCTGCCTGGGGAGGAGGGCATCTGCCTCTAACCGCCATTCGGTGCCCAGGCCTCTCCTCCAACAGAGCATGTGGGGCTGCGGAGCAATAGTTCCAAGGCAGAACTATTTCCCAGCCAGCTGTTATATGGCTTTTGTCCTCAGGACGCCACCCATTACCGTAGAGCCACAGCTCGCAGAGAGCCAGCTGTCAGGGCTGTGGCACAGGCCCCCTGGGTGGGAAGCAAGGGGACAGAAAGAATGTCTGTGGCCAAATTCTCTTTTAGACACCTGAGCCTGGCTGGCTATGTAACCGGAGAGTTTCGTGTCTTCTCCCTCGTCCATCTTCCCTGGGGAGACACCCGGAGCCCCTCTTCTTGTTTTCCACCCTTGGAAAGACAGCAGAGACGCCTCCTGTTTGGATTCCCAGATTTGCAACTCCCTGAGTTCTGGGTTGGGCTGGGCTCTGCTGCGGCTGGCTGGCGTTGGCCGCTCTCATCTAGCGCCTCCCTTTGAAATCTACCCCCTCCGTTTTGTTTTTTTTTTTTTAAACCAGGTATGATGATGTCAAACGTGATGCTGATGCTACAGTTACAGACACGGCCCCTGTTGGCGCAGCCTCTCTGATTCTCTCTTCCTCTCGCGTCCAGCGCTGGGCTTTTTCAGACGAGTGCATCTCCTAACCAGGTCACATCTCAGCCGCGACCCACTATCCGACTGTCACCAGAGTCACCACGCAGAAGAAGGGCTGAGGAAGACGACAGCGTTTGCTTCGACTACCGCAGGGTGGGAGAAAAGGCATTAAAATACTGCAGAAGTCAAGACCCCCCAGGTCGAACCCAGACCAAGATGCGTGCCCCGGGCTGCGGGCGCCTGGCGCTGCCGCTGCTGCTCCTCCTCGTGGCGGCGGCCTTGGCTGAAAGCGACGCCAAAGGGATCAAGGAGGGCGAGACCCCCGGCAATTTCATGGAGGACGAGCAATGGCTGTCGTCCATCTCTCAGTACAGCGGCAAGATCAAGGACTGGAATCGCTTCCGAGACGTGAGTTTGCAGGGCCACTGGAGCCGAGGGCTAGGGCCATGGGTTTGGGGAGGCTGCTTTGGAGCCGAGACCCCCGTGAGGGGCGGGGCGGGGATACTTCGCAGCCAGAGGCCCCCCGCAGCACAGCCAGCTAACTGCACCGCGAGTAAACAATGTGCACCCACCGGACAGTCGTCGCCCTCACTGACCAGCGTCCCCTCCCCGGTCCCCCGGCGCGCATGGGGTCTCCCCACCCCCTGAGGCGGGGTGCTGAGAGGAATGCAGGATGCCGGGGTTGGGGGGTGCGGGACTGAGGGGTGGAGGTCCTGGCTGCGGCTGGACTTTGGACCTGCTTCCCCTGCCCCCTTCTTTGGTGAATCGCCCCCAGGCGTGCACCTAGCTGAGTAGATGCTGCAGACTCCAATTACAGGGCACTGCAGAAGGGGCAGGTCTGGGTGGGGCTGGTGGGGACGACAGCATCGTCTTGCGAGAGTGCCCTCTGCTCAGGCGCACAGAAGGGGACTGGGCCCACTGCCAGGGCTTTGAGTTTGGGGGGCGAGGAGGGTCCTAGCAATCCTAAGGCAAGACGGTGAAAGGCGTGTTCATGGTGGGGGAGGGGGACGGGCGATGGCGATGAAAACACCCGAGGCCACCCCGGGTGGTCTCCAGAGCTGGTCTGGGGTGCCCATGCAGAGCAGCGTGAGCACAAATGGAGGCTGGTTTTCCTGGACCAACCTTTCATGGGGGAGCCCAACCCTGAGCTGGGGGAGCGTTTCCGATCCAGAGAAAAGACTCCGTAGACCCGTGTGCTCGAAAAGCAGAGCGTAAAGCCCAGACGCTGGGCCTGGGGGCCCTTTTCGGACCGCTGCCCGAACCCAGCTTAACCTTGGGAGGAACTTTGCGGGGTGGGGGTTGGGGAGGTGGCTGCGGAAGAGGTGGCGGCGTCGCTGCAGCACTTTGTTTACAGGCACCTGTAGATCAGAGGGGAAACCGGAGGCTGAGTTCCCAGCCCGGGAAGTGAGAGTGAGGAGTGGAGGGCAGAGGGCGTGGCTGGGACCCAGAGAAGGGAGTGTGGGGGGAGGGTGAAGCGGAGGGTGAGGTGGAGGATGGGCCCCTGCACCGCCAGAGGAGACAGTTGCTGGTCCCAGCGACGTAGTGCTCTCTGATGCGGGTTCCCAGAAACCCTCTTCACGATCCCAGTTCTTGCTCCTCATTTGCCAAAAGCCCCCATCGCACCCCTTAGTACAAGGCCCATGGCGACCTTTCTCATCTCTTTAAATTGCCTGCATCCAGAAGTTCATACAAATGTGTTTAAAACACACACACTTCATATGATATCCAGCCCCGTGATGGGAAGAGGCAGAGAGATACAGATCTTTTCATCTGAGAGAAGTGACTGTTTCTCTCCCAAGTCTTACTGGTAGGCTGTAATTCATCAGGACTCACATGCTGCCAGGGCCTCAGGAGGGTGGCCTGGGCCCCTGAGTGGGAGATTTGCCCCACCCACGGCTCATCTGGTCGAGGCAGAGTGGAGCTCCAGCCAGGCCTTTTTCCAGGCCCCAGCGGGCCCAGCACAGATTAGCTGCAGTCTCCTGTGGCTGCCTGGGAAGCAGACTGGCCACAGCAGCAAGGAGGAGGCAGCAGACTGGCCCATCCAGAATCCATGTGTCACTGGTCCAGGCCTCCCTCAGACACACTGGCTGTTGGATGGTCTGAACGGGACTGGTGAAGGTCAGAGGGAAAAGAAATACTTAATCAGAACAATAAAGGTTTAAAAATAAAAGATGCCTCCCCACCTCCCTTCCTCCATCTGCTTCCAATGGCCAACTCTGCGGGTGAGGATAAATGATTGGCTGCTTGACCCCTGGCACAGGGCTGCCCACCTGTCCTCCTGTATCGGTGCCAACAACTTCTCCCTTCCTCCCAAGCTCATCAGAAGAAAGGCAGGACCTGTCCCCACAGGATTCATGGAAAGCTGCAGGGCATGTATTGGTTTGGGTGGCCTCGGGCTTTCATATAGGGCAGATTTCCTCTAAAACCCCGTTTAAGGCTGCAGGAGGACAGGGTCCAGGAAGGCTGTGCAGAAGGGTCTGGCTCTGGGGATCTGTCGGCAGCTTTTGCAGAAAGGCAGGAAGCTGCTAGCTCAGAGCCGCTGCATTGCATAACTTTAGGGATGCCACAGTGTGAACGGCGCCCCCTGGAATTGTGCACAGTCCGTACACGGGCTCAGCCAACGCTACAGATGCTTCTCGTCCCTCCTGTGTCAGCAGAGGCCCCACTTCCCACTCTAAGGGCTGGAGGCCCCCTGGCTGGGCACGGCAGCACCAGGCTTTATGTGCACTTTGTCGGGCTAGCCTTCTTGAAAATAAGCTCACTGGCTCCTCAAAGGGGAGATAGGAGTTTCTTCATTTGAACCTTTAAGGTGTTGTCAAGTTGGGCCAGAACCTTATTCATAATCAATCACAAAATGGCCTGGGATTTGGAAGGTAGGCAAGCAAGAGAGTGGAATATTCTTAGGGAACAGGATAGAGGAGTCGATGTATAGGGAAGAGACAGTTCTCATCAAATGGTGTTGGCTGAATTGAGGGGGCGATTGAGGGAGTCAGGTTGAAGGGGTCAGGAGAACGAGGAAGAGGAGGACAGCGTGGGCAGCTGTTTCGATATGGGATTGGCCTGAGCTGGTCAGCGGGGAGTTCAGTTTAGCATTCTTTCTCTGAGCAGTAGGATTATAGTGGAGGCTGGGATACCAGGGGAGTAATCCTCCCCTGCAGAGGGCACAGGGCTTTCATATCCTGTGCCTGGGCAGCTCTCTCCCAATGCCCGGGAGGAGGGAATTTCATGTCAGGGGAGAAAGGGAGGTTGTGATCCAGCTGAACCCTGCCCTGGGCAGGCTTGGGCTTCACAGAGCCCTGCTCGCCTACAGAACCCGCTGGGATTTTACTGCAGGTTTTGGGACAAAGCATCTGGAGCCTCAGAGTTAGGGATGGACAGTGGAGAGGAGACAGGCCTATTACACAGCATTCTTCCGGCAGCTCCAAGAGCCTGGCTAAGCAGCGCTGACTGTTCTTTTTCTCCCCGGCTCTCCTCTACCTTGTACACTACTTTCATTACATTTACATGATATTTATAAGTGTCTAGCACTGTGCCTGGTGCCCGGGAGGCATACAGCGAATACCTGTCGAACCACTGAGTGCAGTGAGCACTTGTATCTGTGGTTCCCTGCAGCCAGCACTTGACATGTGTTGCCCCTGGTTATGATTACTTTATAGCCCACCCATGTTGTGGTTGAAGAAATGGAGGCACAGAGAAGTTAAATACCCACGGGACACATAGCTAGTAAGTGGCGTAGCTGGAATATGAACCCAGGGTGTCTAATTCAACTCTGCTTTTCAGGGAACTCTAGGCCTAACCTTCAGTGAAAATGGGAAGGAAGAGTTCAGCCTGGCTTGTGTCCTGTGAGTCTCAAGGATGTCCTGGGCAGGAGCAGCGCCTCCTAGGAAGGGGGGCCAGAGCCCTCCCTGTCTGCGGCAGCCTGCCACCAGCCTGCTCCCCAGCCTGTGGCCTAGCGACACTCCTAAGGCAGCTGTCCTCCCAGGCGAGGCAGGAGTGCAGGGAGCCTGGAGAGCGCTGATCCCGCAGCCGGAAGGCCTGGGTTCAGGTTCTGTCTCCGCGCCTAGCTGGAGATGTGATGCGGGGTACATCACATAACCTCCCCGAGCTTCAGGTTCAGTCGAGGAGACTGAGATGAGTGCATGAACATGGCGGCATCTTGTTGGAGGCCTGAGGGCACCCGTTCCAGGCAACACTCTCCAGGCCCGCCAAAACCACCAGGTGGCTCACCGTTTCCGGGGCTGGCCCACACCGTGCCTCAGTCTCCATGAGAAAGATGTGGACCTGTGTCCAGCAACTCACTCATTCACCGAGGATCTAAGCACCTCCTAGATGCCAGGGCCACATCATGGGCCCGCGCCCTGGCCCAGGGAAATACTGCCCGCTGGCTACTCAGGGTCCTCATGTTTGTATGATCACCTACTAGGTCAGTTGCAAGATTTAGCCACAAAGGTGCTTCCTTACAGGCACCCCTGCCCCACCCACCTAAACCAATGCAAGTGTGGGGATGAACCAACCGCACAGCTGTTTGTGGGTAAGTGTGGCTCTGCGAGAACCCCAAACTGGGTCAGAATGGATTCCTAACTGGGGTCCTCCCCTAACCTCCTCCTCCACCCTGGTTTTGAATCTTCTCTCACATTGAAGCAGGGTGGCATCTCCCGGAATGGTGTCACCGCAGTGAGGGACTCACTCTTGAACACCCGACAGGGTTCCCAGTCTTGGGAAGAGAGGGGGAGAAGAGCACTCTGTCTAGAGAGGGTGCCGTGTGCTCCTCTCATCTTCCAGCTGGACTGAAGCAGAGAGAAAGCCAACACCACCCCCTCCCGTGCTCCAGAAGGTCAGGCGGATGGCTGGAGGAGTGGAGGAACTCTATCCTACCCAAGGGCGCAGGGAGCTCACGCAGCCTGTCTTCTTGTGAGAGGACAGAGCCAACTGTGTGGCCTCGGGGGAGCCACTTCTCTTGTCCGGCCCTTGATTTTCCAGTTGGTTTAACGAGCAGGCTAAACAGAGTCATCTACCGAGCCCTGGCTGGCCCGTGACTCCGGGAAATGCGCTGGAGCCCACTAACAGCCCCTGCACCCGCGGGTGTTCCCGCCCACCCCCTCCACCCCTGCCACTCGGGGCAGCAAGTCTTTGGGTTTAAAGCAGGGATTTTCCTTTTGCTCCTGAGGAAGCATCTATGACCGTATCAGGGTAGAACACGGATCAGCTAGAGACTGGGAAACCTAAGAAATGGGGCTTAGTGGCATCTTGAGGCAAATGCCAGGCTGGGGATGGGCACACCGCTCCGGTACCTGTTCATTGCAAGTGTGACATGTGTCTTCCTGGGGTTGGAAACAAGGAGAATGTGTGTCCAGGCAAGGGCCTGGGTGCAGAGTTTAGACACCACTGAGTCCAACTTGTGGGCAGAC